CCCAACACCCTCATACCCCCACCAATACCCCCTACACTACCCCTATACCCAAAAGTTTCTCAGTGGATTTGGGCTGTACTCAGCAAGCGCAGTACAGCCCCCAACTCAGCTTTGAAAAAAAATCAGTGTATGGCTGTTCTCTGACTGGTGGGCAGACCACCGACCGGTCGGCCCTCGGCAGTTTCGGAGAAGGCCATGCCCACCCTAAGTGAAGGCGGGCCTGCGAATATGCTCCTATGCCTGATTATAGGCTGATGTGACCATGCTAAAGGGCCCAAGCAGAACCCGTTGGAATCTATGTCTGGGCCTGGATCTTCGACGAGGCCTGTTTGTGAGTTACTGGGACTCAGGCCTCAAGCCAGACAGTTACTTGGCGCCAGTTGGTTAGAGGGCATTCCATGCATGACCAACGCCCGTGAGCCTTCCAGGCTCTTATGGACGGCGTTGTGGAAGGAGGCCTTTCAACCAATCAGGACGCAGCAAACAGCAGCAGCCAGGTTGGGCAGTTGAGATCTCCAAGTGAATGGGGTCCTGGGCGTGTACAGCAAGAGCCTAGAGGCCGACATTTCGCACAATGGACGAGGACCAAGGAGAATGCAGCTGCAACGTCACACTTCGGCCACGAGCCAATCAGGATGTAGAGAACACGTCGCACAGTTGGGTTGGCTTAATTGATTCAGTCCCAGGCCGCTCTCTGGATCGCGCTGGGCGCAACACTTTGGCCCAAAGTGAAGCTACTAGGCCCATGAGCCACCATGTCCAGGCAGCCTTCGGGGCTGGCCACTTTCCATAAAGGAAAGAGCAAGGCCGCTGGAAGGGCATTCTGGCCGGGTGCTAGCTGGCGGCAGCACTGCTGGTTTGAGCGCTGGAGGCCGCTGGCAGGCCAGGGGCTGTAGGACGCACACGGGTGCAGGAGGGAAGGTGGGTGCTGCTGGAGGCAGCGCCAGTACCCAGCCATAGCCTGGCTTGGGGAAGAAGAGGCCAGTGGGGTTTGGCAGTAGTCTTTGGGTGTTGAGGACGAGTGTGGGTGAAAGTCAAGGGTGGGCTGAGAGAAGAGAGCGAGTGAGGGCACGTACCTGGTTCGTCATGGAGGTCTGCATGGGTGACATCTGCACGTACATTGTGTTCTGCTGCTGAAGGATTCTGGTTGCGGCATTGTAGTATAGGCTACTATAGGAGTTGTGTGATTGTAGTCTGGGAGCCGAGCGCCAAGTAGGGAGAAGAAACACTGGACGCTTTGTTGGTGATGGCCAGAGAGGGCTGACGTCGACATTTGAGTTCGCTGCTTTTTGGTCTCCTTTGGTGTATATTGGTGCATTTCTGCTTTCTGGACAGCTCAGGAGTATCTGGCATTCAATGCAATGTTGTAATTTGGATCTCTGTAAGGGACCTGCCAAAACATAGACTGAGAACACAGCTGATTTCTGAGTTTTGCCGCTGGAATGAATGACTTGCTGACCTTCCCACTTTCTGGTAGTTTTCTAAGTCTGTGTGTGTGCCT